CCTAGTTTGCTTCGGCCTTCATCTCCTCCAGTTATTCGGAGTTCCTCGACCCCCAATCTTGGGGAGAGTCAGCCCATACCGGCTAAAAAGGAGCAAGCAAGCTCATTCCGCTTCTGGAGGTCTAGTCGAAGTCATTCACCTGCCCATTTGAATGTTCTATCGCCTCCAGCCACTCCTTCGATAGACGTCACTCCACCCGTTCGCCCTCCCACCCCGTTTTCCTGGCAATCGTATGATCAAAGTTCGCATCGTATGGGTCTACCCGTACCTCGGTTCAATCACTTCGAGACTTGGTAGTGCCTCCACGCGCCACCAAATCATCTATTGAGACTCTCGCCAGGGCCTCTGCGCGCATCCACACACAGTTCGCGCATCAACGATCCCTCTGTCCCAAAAAGCATCCCCTTTGGCATTCTTGAATCGCGGAAAGCACGTTCGGACGCTGTCTTCTGTTTCCATGGAAGCAATCGGTTCCCAAACCCAGGTACGTTGGATTCTTACAGGACCAGGTTCCATGCACTCGACACGATATCGCCTCCTGCCAGACTGTAGTTGGTTCGATGATAGATGGCCTTCGAGCAGAGGACCTTACGAATTCTCGCCCCCTCCTTCTCCGCCACCTGTGGACTCGCGGGTGAAGAATTGGTTCGACGGCCTGGATGCGGTGCCACAAACCCTGAAGGTTAGAAAACCCGGAGTTACATTCGAGATAGATCATACGAGCAGTCCTGTCGCGAGTATGCCGGTGTTAATGGCTCGAGAGAATGGGTGCCTTTCCCACAGTCAGAAAGTCAGACGGATTAGGACTAATTGTTTATTGCCAACGTTCTTCGGCAAATTGTAGTACATTAATGGTCTCGCGTACGTCTACAGTTTCAATGCTCAGATTTTCATAGTGCAGAATAGGTGTTCTGGTATCTGTGCGGTCGAATGCAAAGTGCAAAAAAAGGGATGATGCTTATCACGCGGGTTTCCTTCCATATCTCTGCCCCCATACTCATAGCTTCGGAACGCGGAGCGTTTTACTGACCATCGCCGCTGCCCAAGCGACAAATGTGAAACTGAGAAGGTGAATCTCTCCACTCTCTCCTGGCTTGCCCCATAATACCGTAGTTCCCAGAGGAATACCTTCGCCGCCCTCGATCCAGCCCTTCTTGGTCCAGTATGCAATGACGGATACGATGCCGAGACTGGAAGGGATAGGGAGCCCCTCGAAGTACTGCGCCTTCCCAGAAGTGTCTTTTGGCACAAGGGCTACGGTGGCGTTAAAGCGAGCAAGGCGAGCGAGGCCCGAACATATGAACCCAGTGAGGACGATACTGTCGAGAAGGGTGCGGAAGCCGACAGTGAAAGCCAATAGTGCAGGCGCGACTCCAAATGATATCTAAGGTAGCATATCATTCATTATTAGTGAATCGAACGTTAGGGCGCTTGAAAGAAAATGACGGAGATATGACAATGAACGTACCAAGTCGGCCAAGCTATCCAACTCTTGACCCAGCAAGCTGGAACTCTTGCGCCACCGGGCCACCTTTCCATCGAAGAAATCGAACATGAGGCCCGCGACAGGGAATGCGATCGCATGCCAGAGGTAGTACTTGTCGTTGGTGATCAAGTACCTCGCCGAGGAGAATATGGACATGGAACCGCAGAAACCGTTCATAATAGTGACAAGGTCTGCCAACCGAAAGTTACTGCTCGAACAGGGGGGGGGGTCAAATTGAATACCTCGGCGGTCACGAATGACGATAGGGCGCACCGAACAAGAGAGAAATGGCCATCAGTGTCCTTGTACTGCTGCAACACAATTTCGTCCTTCTCTGCTTTTATTGGCGTCTTGTTGCGGCGCTGGCTAGCCATTAGGAGCCCTTAGGATCAATTGTCACGAGGGTCTTTGAGGAAGGGTCTATGGACCGGAACTTGCCAGTCCCTGTCGAGGGCGAGTTGAAATATGCCAGGCAATAACGTCCCTTAATCCCAAAGGACGGACAGCAGAGATAACACCTCCATACGAGTCGCCCATGCTTACGCGTGGACAGGCTGATGGTTCGAATAGCCTTCACGCCAAGGCTGCCAAGCCCCTCATGCTCGTATTTTATATATACAGCTTCTGCTCGTGTGCCCCTATATGATTCAGTTCATTCCCTCCAACTCGGCTCACTTACTGGAATGTAGGCCCATGGCAGGAATAGCGAGAGGACCTTATCTCTTACGAGAGTCGTGCCCTAGCTAGTTTATTGCTAGTGAGATGCTTCACCTTGGAAACAACCAGCTCATATACTGGGGATGGCCCAAGCACGCGGTGTTTCCTTCATCCTAGCAATTATGTGAATCAAATCCCTCCCAATACCATCCAAGGTCGCAGTGGCATAAGGCACGATAATGTCGTTGCAACCCGGATCCCGACGTTCAGCGAATACGAGCCAGAGAGTGCGGCCTAACAAGTCTACCAATATTTTCAGATGAAGGAGGGTTCAAGTCATCACGCTCTGAGATTAGTCCCGCCGGACGGTATATTATTCCCCCTACAACGGGGCCACCCTTAAGGCTACGAGACGATTGGCTCTGTCTCGCCAAGCGTCCCACTCACACGCGCCGCCCCCATCTTCGCCACAAAAGACCAGACATCGCACTCGCCCACATAATATCGCGGTACAGACCATAAATGTAGGGGTCCAGCAGCCCTTCCCTCGACATATGGGGCCTTGCCCAGACTGAGAGCGCCGAACATGATCGGATACCGCTGCGTACAACAGCGTGAAGATGGGGGTCCCAAGGAAAGGCGCGTACGAAATCGTGCCAAAGTTTCGAGCTACGTGTCTGGAGCCCCATATCGCTTCTGTCAGCGATGGCACCACAGTCCTGCAATGGAGTAAGTGCAAAAAAAAAAAGTTTTTGGGAGGGGGTATGAGAACGTAGGTGTTGTGAAACGTTGAAAAATTAGACGTGCCAGATCATCCCGTATGCGGCACCCGTCCCAAGACTCAAAATCCACAGATCGTTCGAAGATGTAATACCCCAGGCCATCCATGCGAACGACAGGAGTAGGAGGAAACAAGGTGTCATGACAAAGACCACTCGAGTGACCGCTCGTTTTGGATGAAACACGAGCTCCCCGGGATGATGCCGTATCGGGATTGGGGACGTGAAATCAGCGACCGGGCCTGTCATCAAACGAGAGAGGGTGTTTGCAAGACTGATCATGCGGATCTGCGAGCCGGCTGTGGTTGGAGGCCTGTCGACTTCGGGTTGTGCGTGTACAAAGGATGCAACGATCGTTCCAATATTTGATATGACCATCTCGGACTGGGTAATAGCATGAGAGGTTCAAGACATCCTACAATTGAAGGAGATGGAGTGAGAGCTCACCATGCCCATGACGATCAACATGATTAAGCCTAGGAGCCAAAAGTCCACATCTTTCAATAATGACAGAACAGTCTCCCGTTGGATTGCGGGACGGTCAGCTTGCAGGAGGGGCGAATCCTCGCTGCCTCCCTGAGGAATAGCGGGAGCGGTGTCAGGACTGATCGTGTCAATTGCATAATGATCATGACGTGGGACCGAACGCAACCCAATGGCACCTAACAAATTCACGCTCCCGGAAAATACGGCAAGGAAAATCAAATATCCCGGGGCATCGAATCCATCGATCTGATTAGCGAAGAAGAGATTCCCAATAAACGAGAGAAATAATGGCGATAATCCAAACAGAGCAGTGACGATTCCTGCTGCAAGACCTGTGTTATCCGGAAAGCTCTGTTGCAATATAGATTACCAGTCCGAAGCAGGTCGCATTTGGGATGAGATTATTCACTTTGGAAGCAGAGAACAAACACGAGAAGTATCTGGGATGTCTGTCAATAGGAGTGAAGACTATCCAGGGGTGAAAACTCACGAAGCCACTGTGCCTGAGCCGGCGAGGAAGAAGGAGAATATCAAAAGGTAATATTGCGAGTTTAGGAAGCCTCCTTCGCTAGCTGTTCGGACTGTGAAAGAGAACAAGCCGAAGCCAAGAGAGAAGAACGCTGAAGCGGATAGGGAACAGCTGGTTAAGACAGAAAGTTGGGGTCACTCGAGTTATGGAACACATGGATATCCGACATACGTCCAAGGGCCGAAATGGTCAATCACGAGACCCCAGAGTGTGGCGAATGGATATTGACCCATCATGCCGCTGGAGATGCCGTCATGAGTACTAGCGAAGGAGTAGAGGCCGCGCAGATGGTGGTTCTCACGCGAGAACTATCATAGAGAGCTGGCTCTGGGATAGTTGTAGACGGGCAGCTAGCGAGGGGGCGAACAAAGGAAAGCAAAATATTCCGCCTGCGGTAATTCTGAAGTGACAGCATGAGTACCCCATGTCACTTCAAGAAAGAAGAGCATTGACGCATTGAGAAATATGCATAGGTATAACAAGGGGGAACGTGGTCTTAAAACCATGTCCGTGAGATGTTGAGTCTCGTGATTACGAAATCAAAACGACCCCGGTCACTCGGCCGCATCGACTCCCAAGCTCATTTGCCCATTTTTCTCCCTCGTATTACAGCACTATTAAGTGTAGTCACGTACTCCTGTGAATTGAACCAAATCCAGTGGTTGTCACATGTCACGCCAGGTGAACTGTGGTCACACTTGGCAAGATCACTCAGAATTAAAGCATCTATATCTGAGTGCCTCTGACTCCTCAAAAAAAAAGTAAGCACTAGCACCCCACAAACTATATTACATGTATTTCTGGGGAAGAATGTGAAAAAAAAAAAACCTATGTGCACCATCCTTCATACCACCAACACCACTAATCCACCATTGCATGTCGTGGTCAATATCCTGGAGCTTTCTAACCCTACCAGGCATAGATGGACAGGCTATGGTACTAGCACAGATGTGGCTAGGAATCTGTGAATTCACTCGCAGTCATAACGCACCACAGCCATGCAGGTGTGCTCAGAAACGTGAATAGAGTTGGTCGAGTACTAATCCATCGAGTGACAAAAGTTTGAATGCGGCAGGGTTCGAACCTACGACCGACTGCGCACAAGAAATGTAAAGCAGACGCGCTACCACTGCGCCACGCATCCTTAAAGATGTTATTTCTCCAGTGCGATTCAGATTTCAAAAGGGTACGAGCAACGACCTGTTCACTGTTCATCTGAAGCTGAGGCAGATTTCCGAAAAAAATTCCTAAATAACCCTCCCAGGCGCCCACCAATTTTCGAACTCCGAGCAATGGTTAAAAAGTTTTTTTCCACTTAGTCACACCAGCACATCCTAGCCTTCCTAGGTCACCATCAGGTCTCTGAACAGGCGGTACCAACCACTCCGTGACCATCACCTCTGCCTCCTTCGGGGATTCTGGTCATTCTGAACAGTGGCCCCTCTCGCCAAAATTTAGTCCAAATTCCTTGAAAAATCACCTAGGATACGTGAAAATTTAGCCCCAAATTCCAGGGAACCACACGAATTAGGTTAATTCAGCCTCCGCAGAGAAAGAGATCTTCTCTTCAACAGTTGAACCATATTATACAGGGAATAAGAAGCGGTGCCCTTTTCATAAACTACGGTATACCTAAATGAGAATGCCCAACCCAACATCGGCCTGCCGGACCATCGCACAAGGGCCATGGTGCGGGGGCGCATTAGATAGTACAAGCCAAGAGTATCACAGAAATGGAGAAAAAAGCTAACAACGATAAGATCATTTGTAACAAATCCACACGTCTAAACGGTGGGAATTCTTGAAAACCGCCGACGGATCTGGCAACTCTATACACGCGCTCTGGCGAACATTGATCGGAGGACGGGATCCATCACCGAGTAGGGTTAAACAAATGCCCAAGGTCAGTAGGGGAAGTACGAGGAGGAAAGATCGCGCACATGTGCAACTACTAGAGTCTTCGACGCTGATGCGGCGTTAACCTCAACACAAAACCCTCCGACGCCCCCGTGGACCCAAGTGCATTGCAGATGATACTGGCAGATGCACCATTCGATGCAGTGAGAAATGGGGGGGACAAGCGGTGGACGAAAATGAACGAAAACGAGGTACGAAGGGTCACCCTGCAAGGAGTGGTCCGAATGAGATAACAGGAAAAGGACAGGATACACGGTGGTAGGTCATGCGGCGTTTTCGCGCCTTCGTGGCGCGTGGTAAGGCACACTAGTGGAAAAACGGAATACATAAGGTCATGGCGATGAGAATTTAGATGGAGATAGTGCGGAAAATTGGAAGACGACGAGAGAGTGACGTGTTAGCGGTCGATAGCTTCGAGAGGCTGAGGCGAAGTAATGAGAGCGAATGAACGAAATTATTGACAGCGGCAGCGAACGGACGAGCATGAATGAGCACAGCTGATTATAGTATCCCCGAATCCCGGAGGGCGTTCTGCAATATAGTCTCCTTGACAGCGGCGAAAACGATGCGAATCTGATCGGACCGAGGTCAGTACGTACGAGGTCGAATTTCAAAGAATGAAGTCCTCACATTCTTGGTATCTGTAGCTTGCGTCAAACTGTGGATGGCCATTAGCACCTGCGCACTATAGGAGGCGCAACGTCACGCACTGCGGATAGAGTGCCAGTTTTGCCCTGTTCATGGCGAAAAATTTCCACAAGATGAACTTTGTCGCCTTGTGAACGTCGTTGCCCCCAGTGAATTCTGGGAAGTGCCTCCCGAGTGGTGAGCGAGGTAGTTTAAGCTGGAAGACGTCGATCTTGTTGAGGAACAATATAATAGATGTGCTGAGAAACCAGCGCGAATTGACTACTGATTCAAAGAGAACCAGTGATTCCTGCATTCGATTCTGGATTGAAACATATATCAGACACCCGGGCCAGCATATAATGTATCCACTCGCCTGATTCCTCTCTTCCAAAAGCACTTGATCATATTCGCTAATGGCGACACAAAATATGATGGACGTTACGGCTTCAAAGCAATGGATCCATTTCTTCCGCTCGGATCTTTGGCCCCCTACATCAAACATGCTGGCGGGCACGTGTGAGAGCGGTGCACGATAGATCAAAGATGATGAACTGACTGTATGGATAATTGCCCTATATGAAACCGCGTTTCTGTGATTCCTGTTGTCTTCGCCCGGGCCCGTAATACATCGTCTTCATTGGGGATGTAGGTCCGGTCGCATATCCGCTTCACTTGGGAGAAAAAATAGCTAGCAGAGTCCATGAGATAAAACTCGGACGCATGGTTCATGACTGTAGCGATTATTGGGTCTTGCCATACGGATTCGACTGCTTCGGCCAGTGAGAGTGGGAGGGTGACCCCTGGATCAGAGGTGTACTGAAAGTCTAGAATCTGCTGCGCATATGCCTGGATATTGGATGTGTAGAATCGTAGTAGTGCCTGGAGAGAATATGTCACGTACTCTGTTTGCGCCCAGCTCTGGATCGACGCCCAACTTGCGCATAGCATTGACAATAGCCTGGGCAGAATCCACGAGGTTCTTGTTCACCACTGAACGGTAGAGGAGAAGCTCGTCCTGGTTGTATCCATTCTGGTGAATGATCTTCATCTGCTTGACTATCGTGCTCTTGCCAGATTCCCCAGACCCTAGCAGGAGAATCTTGCACTCCTTGCGGAGTCTTCGCGAGTCCTCTTCGAGTTGCTTGTCGATAGCATCGCTGCGGTCACGTCCCTCACGGTCCTCGACAGAGACACAGGCCCCCATAATCGGGACCAAGAATCGAGAAGAGGCGCAATCAAACTCTGTACAACAATTTGCATCCGTGCTTCGTAGTATTTTTAGTGGAAGATCGGAAGTTGAGCTCCCTCGGCGGACAACAAAATAATTACTGCGCCCCTCGGCCACGTCTCCCCACCACGGTGATGGTAATGTGGTCACTTCCTGGCTGTCGTTGCAGTCAACGTTGGCCTTGAGAAGTATCAGTCACTTTCCATAAATGGTGCCAACCGCAGAAGGATGTCAATGGAGGACAAGGTAAGTAAGCATTGGTTGGACCCTGAATAACTTTCAATGACATCCATAATCAAATAAGATCGAGCGGAATTCGACATCCGTTTTCTGGTGGAACATGCCCTGAGCGAGCAACCCCAGTGGCCAACCTCCCACGAGGCCCTGTCAATTACATAATACTCCACATAATCTCATTTGCATCCGCTCAATTGCACAAACAAACGTGATAAGTCTCGCCTATGACATCGAAGCCTAGATATATATCCCGTAACAGATAAACTCTCATACTGTCTATCCGCCATGCCCCCCAACGCCGTCGACTTGAAGCATCACCTGTCATTCCGAGCTCATACTCGAAAGCGAGAAAGACTTGCTCAAGCTTACCCTCGTGGAGATGAGGTGAGGGCGATAGCTGATTACGCATTCCACTTACAAACCGACATCTCTTATACTTACAGACCTTAATCAACATGGATGGCGGAGTCCCTTTCTCAGAATATTATCCCTTCGAGACCATCTCCTCCCGATACCTGAGCGAGGATGCCTTTCCCATTGACCCACATCTCACTCCTCAAAAAGGGGTATTCTCATGGCTCACGGACTTTTTCACCTCTCCAAGTTCCGCTACAAGGAAGTTGGAAATCACGCGCCACGCGCAGAAGCCTGACGATTTCGAGATATCCACTCTGATGAACTACAGTCTGTGTCCTTCCCAAACAGCTCACATTCTACGAATTCTCACTCAAACCTCCTAGGCCCTGGGACGGGTCTAGCTCCATTAGAGACCTACATACAAGAATTCATCAGACGAGTATACAGACCTGCATACACAGATTGGAATATATTAATCGATATCGGCGCTGGCGATGCATTTTCAAAAGTACCTTAGTTTTTGGACTCGGATATACCTCTTTTTGATATCTATCGCTCTAGGTCTTGGAGGTTGTAACTAACCCGGGGGATTGTTGTTTAGTCGACGATTGGAGTTACAATTTTTCTCTTGCTCAAATGAAAGATATTGGCATCCTTCCTGTGCCGGTAAAGGTAGATTCCATTGGTCTGATCCCATCAGAGCTGCATCGCACTCTTGCTTCTTGGGATGAAACGACACGTCGACGTCCTCGGTGGGCATTAACAATTTTCTTCCTTGTGGCTGAGAGAAGCTGACGTCACGCGATTCCAGCCCTCGAATATTGTTACAAGTCTGTTACCCTCTCTGAATGTCCGTAATTGTTTATCTGATCACAGGTATCCGATGGATGTAGGTCCCAGCTGGACAGAATCCCCTAGGCACTACGTTAACAGCTCAAAGAAAGCAAGACATTTACAAGGTGGCGGTTGAATGGGACTTGTTGATTGTCGAGGATGACCCGTGAGTTCTCCAACTTCTTAGCCACAATTTCTCCCGATACATACGTCTATCGTCCTAGGTACTATTTCCAGCAATTCGGGCCATATTCTCACCAGACCCAAGTGGCGCGCACCACCGCGTACGCGGCCGAGGGCAGCGACCAAGCGTGGATCGACTCATTGGTTCCAAGGTCCGTTATGAAGTGAAGTGTTCTAACAATCATGTTTCCTGACTGGTGCCGAAAGCTTCCTGAGATACGATTACCAGGGGAGAGTGATCCGTCTGGATACCTTCTCCAAGGTACTGCCTTTTCTTGTGATTCGTATGGCTGCTATAGTTATTTTACTTCTCAGACGGTTGGTCCTGGGGGGCGCCTTGGATATTTCACCACGTCACCTCTTCTCCGAGAACATCTAATGCTTGCACAGAATGGAAGAAGTTTTCCTCCAAGTGGGATCAGCCAAGCCCTCATAGGCACCTTGTTGAAGTCTTGGGGTCACGACGGTTTCATTCGTTGGCTCCGGTGAGAATTATATGTCTTCCTTTTACTCGTGAGGTACTTGGCTTTGGAGTCTGACATCTTAGTATAGAGGTCTTCGTGGACAGTATAGACTCCGACGCGACTTGACTATCGACCTTTTTTATCGCCATTTTGACATTCAGCAAGAATATGATAGTGGACAATCGGTCCTCGTGGCCTATCCCCACCACTCACAGAAAGGAGTCCCGGACGAGAAACCTGGTTCACGCAAATCCACAGCGTTATTCGAATTTGTCCCTCCAAGTACTGGGATGT